GAGAAAGCAGCATGAAATGGTCAAACAAGGCTCTTTAATGCCATTCATAGATCCAAAATCCCTCTGCTGCATCGCAGAGACAGTCACATGAATGGACACTAGTCGGTGTTTTCAATCCAACAAATCTCTAGAATAGTGGAGGGAAGTCCACTAGTGCAGAGAAGTAAAAGAGTTCATAGTAAAACAGTCGCTAAAATTCATGGCAGGCCTGATAAGCAAAGACAAGACATTCAAAGCTGTACCGTTGGCAAGCGAACCTTGCGTCGGCGTTTACATGTATAGGAGTGAATCGCCATGACGATATCTTGTGTTGGAGAGAGTAAAAATAAGGCATTTATTACATAACTACTTGATCTGACGCTAGATTCCGTGCGCTTGGGAAAATACTTGCCTTCTCTCTTTATTCGGTACATCTTATTTTACTAAGAGTGTTGACAGTACTCTTCGTACACACGATTATCGGCACCCAGGACCAAAATGCCAGCCTTTAGTATAAATGTAAATCAAATCTAAATGTGTCAAAGCGTTGTAAAAAAATAAAAAAAATTGAGAAAAGTATAGTAAAGTATTTTGATGAAAAGTTACCTGGTCGTTAATGGATGACGTAAAAATAGTATTGAAGTCGCTTTTACCTTTTATTTTACTCGATGGTTCCAAGATTCAATTTTATTTCTGATTTTTGAATGCTCAAATTAATAAAACAAAAATTAAAATGTATCCATATTTTCATCTATGTACTGTAATATTTTTAGGGATTCAACTCACCAAGAGAATTCTTAGTTACTCAGGGACCTTTACATTCCACTAGAGATGACTTTTGGCGTATGGTTTGGGAATCAAATTCTCGCGCCGCTATTATGCTTGCTGGGCAATATTTGAATGTTTGTTTTACAATTACAGAACCAAAACTAATACCCACACGTTCTTGAGTATCTGCATTTTTAGCCGACCATACCAACAGGTTTGGTAGGCTATTAAGATCGGCAAAAAGTTTTTTAATTTCACTCAAAATGAGTTATTTGGGCTGGCAAATGGCCTAAAACACAAAATATTTTCAGGGTCTCTGTCTGTCTGTCCGTCTGTAACACGATAACTCAAAACTGAACCGATTTAACCAAATTTGGGTGTTCCGAGAATCTGGCTATTAGTTTTAGGTGGGGTGGGGGGTTGGAAAAGGGGTATGGGAGGGAGTTAAAAAATCGTAACTCCAAAATTACAGTAGCTAGCGAAACGCGGTTTTCTATTTAAGATTAGGGATATTATTATCAACATATTTCGTAGTGACATCAAAATCAGTCAAAGTCGCAGTTTTTGAGATTAAAAATATGAAATATTGTTTAAAAAATTATAACTCAGAAACGAAACAGCTAGCAAAACGCTGTTTTCAATTCTATCTATTGAGCATATTTAAACAAATTAACATATCTCGCTCTGTAGTCCGTTTTTGAGAAAATCCGTGTGGAGAACCACAAACTCCCATCGGACGCGACCCCAGGTGGCGGATAGGAGAAATAACTGCGGACCAAAAATTGAAAATTCCTTTACTTTGAAACTAAAAGAACTGTCTACCAACTTTTTATTAACATATTTTAGTATGGGCGGCTGTACGTGCCTCCCGGCGCCAATTTTTTTAATTCGGCACATTGCTTTTAGCATTTAAAATATTTATGTTATGGAATTATCTAATTATGTTTGGTATTTTTTTCTTAGATGTGTCGAAAAAGGTAGGGAAAAATGTGATCATTACTGGCCCTATGATACCATGCCAGTTTATTATGGAGACATATCAGTCCAGATATTAAATGAGACCAGATATCCTGATTGGAACATATCAGAATTTATGGTTTGCAGGGTGAGTCTATTTTATTCCCAATATTTTATAAAAATTACCACTTAAATTACATTTTACTAACTTGTTTTATAACTCAGACAGGTTCAAATTATACTACGTTTTAAACTGTTTGTTCTTTTCATTCTTTTTTCCTTTAAGGTTGACATATGTATCTCGTTCTTTTCCAGGGTGATCAGCAAAGAGTGGTACGACATTTCCATTTCAGTACTTGGCCTGATTTCGGCGTACCGAGTCCTCCCCATACGTTAGTTAGATTTGTAAGAGCATTCCGAGAAAGGGTACCTCCTGATCAAAGACCTATTGTGGTTCATTGCAGGTAAGGAATATTTTTAAATTATATTATCGGTATATACTGGTGATGGACATTGCGATTCTTTTAGTGAATGGAATCACACGATTCAATTCTTAATATTGAATCGACTCCTACGATCCGTTCATTTGAACGAACCACATGCACAATTTATGTTTCATAAAACCAAGAATCGTAACTGGCATTACAGGCGATAATTAGGTCGGACAATTCCTTAAGGGACCAGAAAAAAATATACAGCCTCTTTCATTTGTTTTTCAACACTTTACGACACTGGCGTAATTGGATTGATTATTTAATATTAAATTGTCAATCCAATTCATATATATACTATTAATTAAAAGACTTCTTTAATACCAATTTAATATTTTTAGAGCATATTTTATACTGATTTAATAATCATAATAAGTAGTATATAATACCGCATGATCGAAAAAATGGCGTCCATTTGGCTTGGAAATGAACAGCAGTAACATTCCTTTTTTATATTTTACATAAATACAGCTATCATTTTATAACCATCGCCGACGCCTTTTTTTATCATATTGAGCAGAGGCCAACAATATTTATTTGAAGTTGCTTAAAAACACGATTTCGTTTTTTAGCCGAAATTTAATGGTTTATAGTCGGTAAATATTAGACAGTTTTCGATGTTGTATTCGTTTTGACGCTTAACATAGGCGTATACTTTAACCGAGACTTTAACTTAGCTAGCGTTAAGTTAAACGTCACCTCTACGTCATCGTCGCTAATACAAATATAAGTGAGAAGCAATCAACTTTTTGCTATTTATTTCTATTAAACTTTTACTATTTCTTTTGTTGCTGATACCTACTTATATCACAGTTTAAACAATATAAGTATCATGTTGAACGAGGAGTTTGCAGCCCTTAATTCCTCGGACTCTGACAGTGACTTAGAAGATGTTCTGTTATTGGAAGTGTTAAATAGACACAATAATGTGAATAGAGCTGAAATGTACGGGGCCTTTAATCTCAACAATTTATCTAAAACTGAGTGTAAATTATGAAATGAACCAGTTTCGGAGAGAAAAAGATAAATTTACAACTTCTGCGCATGCGTAACGTTATCGTTTTTCTTATGTCTATCGTCCCTAAGATAGCGGGGGGTGACGTTAGAGATATACGTTAAATGACATTTCGTATGTCATTCTTGTCAGTTAGCGGCAAAAATATTAACGTTAAAATTAAATACATTAGGGAGTTTTCGTTGCTTACAAATTGCAATGCCGGTTAACGCTAATTGACAACTTTGACATTTCAATTTCGATTATCGTATATCGTAACCGCTCGATATTTTACGGACGTTAGCCAAAGCCGTTAACATAGTGGTACGCATGCGCACTAGCGCAGTAGAAAACACAACATTGAAAAAATATGATCTTTAAAATTTCAGTAAAACATTATTTATTTAAAAAATTATTATTTATTTTATCTGTGTTAAACTCGTTGGGAATTCTTAGTGCTTCAACTAATCGAGGAATGTCTTTTTTTCAAAGCGGAAATTAGCTTTGCACTCTTGGTCAGATAATATTTCTAGGTTGAACTCCCTATAAAGTTCTGCTCGATATTCGACGTTGTTTTCAAACCCTTCCAACAGCATAGCATCCTCCAAATCCAATTCATCACTAGAGTCCAATAAAATTAAATTGTCCATCTTATATAGCGATACCCAATAAAGTCATATGAAGCACTTTCAAATCAAACAACAATACAAAAACCAAAAATCATAACACTACGCTACGGGCTGTGCTCAGCTGTCAGTTTTCGGTTATCGTATCGTATGTCGGCTCCGAACCGATGAACCGAAAGTCCGAAAATTATTTTTTTATCTGTCAAAATAGCGGTTATGGTTACGTATCCGTTAACCGTACCGTTGAATTTTTTTAAAGCAACGAAAACTCCCTATTATACAGATACTCCCGTACTAAGCACAGCATAAATAGGTTTTTTCCTGTAGACGAATCGTAACTGGCAGAAGAATGAACTGACTGAAGTTGACTGTAGAAGAATCGTTTGCATTTTATGCCCATGATGTTTGTTTAAGGTTTTCGTTCAAGTCTAAATTGGTGCCCGACTCTCTATGCCTCTATCCCGGCCGTAGAAACGAACTAGTCGCATTGTGATCCCATTCAACTCTTACGACTCTTTTTTACGGCTCATCGTTCAAATTTCATGGATCCATGCTGACCACGATTCAATTGAACGAACCGCATTCTAAGCAATGAATTACTCTCACGGCTCCTTGAACGAACGAGCCGTAGAAACGAACGATCGCATTGTGATCCGATTCAACTCTTACGACTCTTTTACGGCTCATCGTTCAAATTTCATGGATCCGTGCTGGCCACGATTCAATTGAACGAACCGCATTCTAAGCAATGAATTACCTCTCACGGCTCTTTTGAACGAATGAGCCGTAGAAACGAACGATCGCATTGTGATCCGATTCAATTTTCTAATTTTTTACAGCTCATCGTTCATATTTTATGGATCCGTGCTGGCCACTGGCAGTGACCGAACACGTATTCATTTTTAATACTCATTCGAATGAACGACTCGTTCAATCTTTGACCCACCTCTAGTTCCTATCAGTTATTTTTGCTTCTATCATGAGAATCGGCTACTATTGGTTAAAAATGACGAAATAAATTGTTTCATCTAAATAGCCAAAAATTGGTATATTTATGTAAAATTAGGAAACTTTTTCAAATAAAGTTTTTCGAAATTTGGCAAATGTGTTGTTAAATAAAGTCAAATTTGACAGGTACCCGAGAGCAACAGAGTAAATTTTCTTATTTCACTTTTAAATTTGACAGGTACCCGAGAGCAACAGAGTAAATTTTCTTATTTCACTTTTAATCTAAATCAAAGCAGAAACTATCGTAGAAGTCAAATTTCTCTTAGTTATCTGTGAAACTGTATAATTATTACTAAAATAGTTACCAAAATCATTTATATTTACATGAAATAAAAATACGCAAACAATTTAAGACCTCTATATTAAATATTATCGTCATCAACACACTCGCTGTGTGTTTTTTGTGTATCAAAGAGGTTTTAGAATTTTACTAAAAAAATAAACTTTAGCGCTGGCGTTGGAAGATCCGGAACCTTCATCTGCTTGGACCGTATCGTCCAACAAATTCAAACTTCCGATTACGTAGATATTTTTGGAATCGTGTACGCCATGCGCAAAGAGCGCGTGTGGATGGTGCAAACCGAGCAGCAGTACATTTGCATCCACCAGTGCCTGCTGGCAGTACTGGAAGGAAAAGAGATGACGGGTCCGCCCAGAGAGATACACGAAAATCAGGGATTCGAAGGTAAGTCGATAGTGGTAGAGGTCGAGAGCTTTTTGGGTTAGCTAATAATTAATTCGAAATTGGCAAGTATTTACTATTGCCATATACTCTTATATAAAATAATAAAACAGCTATAAGCATCCATCACTTATTGAAAAAGAGATATCTCTGTTCAGATTTAAACTACCAAATAAATAAACTTAATGTCTCTTAATAAGTGCAAGTATTTTAACTAAGTAGTACGTTTTAACACCAAGAACAAGGTCCTTGAGGAGTCATTAAGAACTTTTTTCTTGAAATTATCTAGAATTTTTTAAAATTTTTAGTGCTATAGGTTAATTTTTCTGAAATTTCTTGACGGTGTGTTGCCTTGTAATGTTGCCCCAAACAAGACTTTTTACGGTAGTTTGTCATTTAATACTTTGATAATATAGTAGAGGCACTGAAATCTATCAAATAAAGGAATTAAAGAAGTATAAATGTCAAATAGTATATTTACTAGCTGATACTAGTAAATCATCACTAATTATTTTGTGACTTATTTTTAGTGACTAACATTTCTGTCTTTCGTTTCTCCTCTGTTTGTTGATTAGAAACAATTTTATTTAATAATTAATCATTTTTCGAAATACTGGGTGAAATTTAATTTTGTAAATAAACGGCCTTTGTGACCAAAGTGGACGGTCCCAGAAATGTGTAATGCCCTTCTTTTTAAATTGTATGCTATTATACAATTTAAAAAGAAGGGCATTAGAGTTGGTTTGGAAATGTAGATCGCTGTCTTTTTCTATGTAAAGTTTCATAGAAAATGCCGCCGATCATAATTTTCAACCCAACTTGACGCCTCTTTTTTATCATACATCATTTTAAGGCAGATTTACATACCGTGCTGGCAACTCATGCTTTTGGGTCGATATTTACATGTGTGGAAGTAAATCGCATAAGCATCTTATTAAGTTGGAGTGAGGGAAATGCAACCGTGTGTGCTTTTGCGGCGTTGCCACATTTCTCCGGTACGCCTTTCCCTACCAAGTAAAGTAAAATCACAATAACAAACGGCTTATTTTTAAAAGACTTTTTTTTTCGAAAAGATAACTAGATAAAATCATTAGATATGTTTCTGAGAATCTGAAATGGAATTATAAGGATATCGTAGGGTGTCCATTTTTTATAACGAGAAAACGTCAGTAATCGCGATAATTTAAAAATTCAACTTTTTAACACATACCATACCAACACGCCATAACTCAAGAACCTCTTCATATATTGAAATTTTTTTTTCATTGAAGTTCGGATCTTTTACAAGATGTTTAAATGAGAAAAATTCGATTTTCTTTCTATTCAGAATTTAAAAAAAAACGGTCCATTTACCTTCTTATTTGTGAAGATTTTCGCATCCTGTCTGCGAAGAAAATATAGCAGACATATTGAGAAAGTTTTTGAAAAAAACTATCGATTATTTCTAATGGATTTTGAGATATCGATTTTTGAATTCAGAGATCTAATAGCGCGACCACTGTCGAACACCGACTCTATTCCGCTTATTTTTACCAAAAGTGCAAGTGTTTCTTAACTTTTAAAAATTTAAAAGCTATAGGTAAAATTACAACGCCTCGTTAATAAATAAACAAATAAAGTATCACGAGACGTAATGAAATCCTGAAGCTGAACGCATGATGTACACCCTTCCCTAAAATTTTAAGTACTGATTAGGTCGACCGGTCGACCCCGACGAATTTGCTATATCTCCTTCCACGTCTCTTAGCAATGTGTACAGTTTCTCGGTTTATTTCATACGTTTGGCAACGTTTTTACTGTTCTCTCTTTGTTCAGTACATTATAAACGCCCATTGCATTGTACTCTTCTTACATACGGAAATTTCGACCCAAAACTAACCTTTGCCAGCCCTTAGTATAGGGTTTCCAACAGTTCTTTATTCCAGAGAACAGATTTTTTACACACCTAACTCAAAATCTAAAAAAATCGATCTATCTAGTCTATCGCCTACAACGTTTAATTAAATTGTTAATAATAATAATATACCATTTATTGTAATTCCTCTAGTACAACTTTTAGATATATTTCTATAGTTTTCATAAATCACAAAAGGATTAAAATTACTGAATAGGACTGTATTAATCTGGCAACAATGTGTCTTTCGCTACTCTCACTCGTTCGTACCGAAAACAAATATTTACGTACGAGAAATATTTGTGGATGCGATAAACGTGTTTTGCTTTTTTATGTTTAATTACTGTTGTATTTTGAAATAGAAAGTTTTGTAGGAAATCGCTTGTTTTATTTTACCAACTTTTGTGTATAAATATTTTTAAGAAAATAAGAAAGACACTCAACCGCATAACGGTTACTTAACTTTTGGGTAAATTCTTGACCTTGAACATTTGGTCGAGGTTTCAAAAAATGTTTCGCCTCTTGCGCTTTTTTAACTTCTCGTCCTTTATTTCTTGTTTTTGAAAGTTGGCAACCCTAAGTTATTGTGTTATTTGAAGTACAGAAGCTTAAAGGCGGGCGGCAACCTAAGCCAAGCGAAGATATGATTTGTAAAAATCAGCTCCCTTACTTTTAAATGCATCAGTGGCCACTTGAGCGAAACTAAACGAAAATATATGAACGAAGATTCAAATCGTAGTTTAGTTTCGCTCGTTTTAGTTAGTTTTTCGCAGCGATTAGTTCTATGATAGCATACCGTTTGTTTTTATAATCTTAGCTTAGTTTAGTTACGCTCGCAGTGGCCGCCTGCCTTAATAGAGGGTGGCCCGAACTGTATTTCGGAAACTTCGGCAGCATATTTTGCAGATAAAAATAAGTAAAAAAGTTCGTATAAATGCATGTCCTAAAATGCTTAGTTTCGGTGATACAGGGTGTAGAAGTTTCATTTTTATTTCGATTTTTCCAAATAATTTATGAAATTGGTGTCTGGGAGTTTTTTTGACATGAGAAATTTGATTTTGATGTCCTGCGTGTAGAGGGCGCCACCTACATATTCTTTAACTGGTTTGAAGAGTAATAACTTTTCGTCCGTACCTGCATAAAACTACTGAGTAAAAAAATCTACATTTACGACGTTTTTTATGTAAAAAAGGTCTCTTGGTAAAAGTCGCTACGAGTAATGGTTCTCGAGATATTTGGAATCGAAATTGTCAATACCTGTCATCATTGACATAAAAACATGTTGACCAAATAGTTATTATACTGAAATCATAAATTTGAAGTGTTTTTGTAAAAAACGTTGAACAGAAACTGTTTTATCATTATTTTTTCGCAGAAAAATTTATAATTAATTAAAAAAAAATAAAAATTTTCCAAATTTATTATTTCAGTCAAATAACTATCTACTCAACGTGTTTATTTTTTTTGTCAATAATGCTATGTATTGACTATTTCCATTCTAAATACCTTGAGAACGGTTGCTCGTAGCGATTTTTACCAAGAGATAAAAAATCACGGAAATTTATATTTTTTCACTCAGTAGTTTTATTAGTTTTATAAAGGTACGGACGAAAAGTTATTACTCTTCAAGACAGTTAAGACACATGTAGGTGGCGCCCCTTACAAATAGTAGGCATATTGACATCAAAATCCAAATTTCTCATGTCAAAAAACTCCCAGACACGAATTTTTATACAAATATTGACGTTACTTCAGAAATTATTTGGAAAACATCGAAATAAAAATGAAACTTCTACACCCTGTATCTCCGAAACTAAGCATTTTAGGCCATACATTTATACGAACTTTTTTACATATTTTTATGAGCAGAATATGCTGCCGAAGTTTCCGGAATACATTTCGGACCACCAAAAACTAACACATATTTTAATAAAATATGTGTTAGTATAACTACAGATTAGGTATCCTATAAGTTACAGATAATTTTAACACATACCATACACCTAATTCGTGGTACGAAAATTGTTTTTTATGACGATGTGCAAACGAGTCAAATTTCCTGTGCGCAAAAATAAACTCGCGTAAAATAACAATAAACAGCGTAATAGAGAGATATCGCTAAACCGAATAGCGTGCATGGACGTTAATAAGGCCAGGTATTATTTCCTTTACGTGAGGTGGTATTAACTCTCTTAATTTATAGTTATCGGATTGGAAAGAATTCTGATCGCGTCGCGTCCGCTATTTAAACTTAACCTAACTTTGAATTTAAAACTTTGAAATTGTTTTGTTTACTAGGTATTTTAAAACTAAAGGGCTAAAGTGGTTATTTTCAGTGCTTTATTGTTCAACGTCTGCCAGTGGGTTTAGGGCAACAAGCAACAAATTCTCTTAGAAGGGCTAAGTCGTCATCTGCTGTAAACCTAAGACTCTTTATAGGTTCTTTAGTATTGGAAGAGGTTGAATCCATATTTTGGGCCATATTTATTTAATTAAAACTAATCGCAGCTACTTAAATATCAAATTACCTAATAAAATTAAAGCAATAATTCAAACATAACCTAAAATAAAAGATCTCGCCGGCCGGCTCCGGTTGCCAAATACCCGCACATGCCCATTTAAGCAATGTTTAAACGTTATCAGAGGTTATTTAGAAAGAGCGCTTGGTGTAATTGATCCGCAAATTACGTCAGGCGGTAACGTTATTAGCGGGTGTTGCGTTAAAAATTGACTCGCGCCAAAGACTCGCGCATATCGTAACATTGATAAGGTACGCGTAAATACTGGATGACGCTATTCGGTTTTCCCAGGGTTTTCCGATATCTCTCTAATAACTGTGCCGGTCAGGCGCTGTGCACAATTTTAGAGGCCATAAGTGGGCGTGCTATGTGCGCAAACTAGTCACCTAACTAGTGCCCGATTCCGAAAATTGGAATCACGAAAAACAATAAAGAAAAAACAAAGATTATAATCTGTATAATCTGTGGTATAACCACTAACAAAATTTTAATAAAATTACCTTATAAAACAGATCCATTTGTTTTTCGTTAGTTTAATCGCAACACAAACGACTAAACAAAATAGGTGATGGATGTCTTATAAAAAATAATTAATTCGCTTCATTTCCCGCTTACACCCTACGTATTATTTTGTACCTTGCTCCAGACATGGTGTGGCATATTTAGTCAGTGTAAATCGCTGCTTTCTCTGCGGAGGCGCCGGCGCGGGAAGAGCGTCGCAGTGGCCGGCGTCAAGCCGGTCGCCGACCTGCCTCAGCTGGGCTCGCCGCCGCCCAACGGGAAGGAGAAGGAGAGGTAGCTTAGCGGGTGGTTGGCTACTACTACTGCACTTAACAGACTATTTTTCTGTCTTATACACGGCTCGAGGGCTTCATAAATTTGGCAAGGGTAATATATTTTTTCTTTGTGTAATGTTTTAAACGCATGGTTTGTTACTAAAATGCTCTCCGTTGAATAAGTAAATTAAGGAGGGAGTCAAATACTACTTTTATGTTCATGCATTAGCGACGGAAGGTACGTTATGGCAACCTCCTTTCTGTCACTTTTGATTTTTCTTGTGACAAATTTGAATTACTGCTAGTTGTGGCGTATTTTGTGTAGTAATTTTATACTTAACTGGTGTATACCTAGTGTATAGATCTTGAAAGTCATTGTGTCGAAATTTGGATTACTAGAAATAATTACTTAAGCCTAGTTGACACGGTCAAAATGTACTTGGATCAAACACACTTGGACACTGCGCGCGTCTGGCTTGGACGCCACTTGGATCGTGTTAAACGATTTTAATTCAGTTGGTACGATCGTCAGACGCGCGCTGCGTCTAGGTATATTATATCCCAGTACACTTTGACCGTGTCAACCAGGATTTATGCTTGAGTTCCAAAACTAAAAACTTGAAGAATAATGTTATCTACATTTCATTTATAATTAACATCTCACTCGTATTTATGACGTTAGGTTAGAGTAGTAAACCAACATATTCATTTAGAGTTAACGAATTCTGACATTTATCAGGACTTCCAAATATAATGAGTGATATCGAGTTGTTCCAGTACAGGATCTATATTTTTGTTACTAAATAAAAATTAACTCATTGATTATTATAAAAAAAGGGCTGACCCGTTTGTTCTTTATATTTCGATAGTATTTTCAATATACCTATTTCAATATCTTTCTACATTTGAATATGCTATTTTCCCACTATTTTCCATTAAATTTATATTCTATAATGTTTAGTTTGATTCTGATTTGAAATAGGCATCAATTATTATTACAAATAAGCTATAAGCGTGCCTAACGTGAGCTGTCAATTACAGAAGATGGCGGAGTACGTCTATTATAAGCCCGTTCTATTAAAAATACATTATTCGGCATATTATTGAGTCTGTTCAGCGAGTCAGGAAAGATTTCTCAAGACGACATTAAAAAATTAGAGATAATACAATTTACTTATGAAATAAAATGACAAATAGCAACTGTCACTGTTGTGTAACCCCTCACTAGAAAAAACTTTATATTTTAGCATGTTATTAATTTTGATTATTCTTACATAACTTTGTTAATTAACCAGAATTTAAGTCAGCAATTAAAGTTCCTTCGAAGTCTCGCTTATTATGTTGATATACTCCTTCCTTAATTTTTTTTCAGTGTCTGATACTAAAACGCTCTTAAGACTAACTCTTCTAAATATCAATTAATTATTAATTTTATGTATAAAAATAAAGAGTACTACAAATTCGAGGTACGAGCATTGGTATAGTCTATAAAATGAACAACTTTGAATTTTGACCGTTATTTTTTACCAACATGGCAAATATAAAATCCCTCTATCCAAAAAGTTACTGATATTCTTTAAAATGAGTGCCGGAACGAATCAGATAGGTAACTCTTTTTACTTTCGTGAAATAGAAAAGGAAAATAACAAAACAAGTGACAGTTCTTCTTCTTGCAAAAATCAATGCGAAACTTATGCGAAATGTCATAATTGACAAAAGTAAAATGCCATCAGCCTTTCACATTTCTAAATATCAGACCAATGCCGTCTCTAATAGAACAGCCTCGGAGCGAGATTTATGACGTCACGCTAGTTAGACACCACGGATTAATAAATATGTTGTAGAATACATGGAAAATATAATTTTTCCTCGTATTTTTGGTTTGTACTTTAAAACTGATATAGTTTACATGAAATATACATAATATACAGTTAATAAATACAATATATATATATACCTATTTATAGTAATAAATACTTTGGCAAATAAACTATGAACCATACAAATGCAGCAAATATTTTACAATATACCTACAAATAATGAATAGGTACATAAGATAATGGGTAAAATGTAAAATATATTTTAGATTTTGGGGTTTGAAAATCGATCTAATTTAATAAAAAACATTCAATATCTACTAATTGTGATGTATTATTATTTGCATTCACAATATTTATATGTATATTTTGCAAGCATTAATGTTCGAAAATTATATTTGCAAATAATAACAATATCATAGAAAAAAGGCGTCAGCGATGGCTATGAAATAAAGATCGCTGTCATTTTATATGTAAAATTATTCTAAAATTTTTGATTTTCTTGGGATTTAGGTTCGGGAAAAACACTGATTAAATTTTTCATTTGGTTTTATTATTATTTTTTTGGTTTAAAAAACGTTATAGCCTAAAATATATAAAATAAATAAAAAAATAAACGTTTATAGCCTTCATCAATGTTGTGTCATATGAAAAAAATAGTGTCGAATATAATCCAAAAAATTACATATACGAGGAATAATAATTATGTTTTCCATGTATTCTACAATATAATTAATCCGTAGTATCTAACTAGGGTGACGTCATACATCTCGCTCAGAGGCTGTTCTATTAGAGACGGCATTGCATCATGTTTTGTAGAGACGGCATTGCATCAGAGTTGCTAACCTAATAAAATTTACACTAGAAAAGCCCGCGGGAACTGTCAAATTCAAAGTTATTCGTTTCACAGACTATATCTGGTTAACCGTAATAGATACGAACATGGTTAAATTGGGGCAAAATTGCGCTTTGGGATGTTCACCAAGATGTCACCAAAAAAGTTTTAAAAATTTCAAGAATTGCTGAGTTTTTTGAAAAAAAAAATATTCAGATTTCTGTCGTTACTTTTTAGAAAATCAAAAAACTAATTGCACATTCTCATAGCCACTTTAATTAGGGCTATCTGACAGTATTTTTAGATTAGAACATATTTTTTTTAAATACGGACCTGCGTTTTTTATTTCAGGTTTTGAAAGAACTCGGTCTCCTGAGTACAATGATATGCCACACTTTATACCTTTTTGTTATTTTGGGTACCTTAACAAACTCTCTACAAATCTTTTGAAAAAAAAACAGAGCCGGACTTGAAATTAGTTTAAATAAATTGTGTTCAAATGTCCAAAACAAAAATAAATATTAAGTGTGGCATATCATTCTACTCAGGTGACCGAGTTCTTTCAAAACCGGAAATATTTTTTTATGGCATCTTGGTGAACATCCCAAATCACAACTTTGCCACAATTTAACCATGTTCGTATCTATTACGGTTACCGAGATCCTAATGCTCGTACCCCGAATTTGTAGCACCCTGTATAGTTACACCCGCAAAATATCCCATATATTATGTTTTCTTAAAGCTCGAATCAACGAAAAGCGGCTGATGTATAATTCTTTAGCCCTTGTCAGTTCAAATTTAAGCAGTAATTCGTTTAATCGATTTCTAAGAGTCACAATGATCTCGCTGTAACTTAAGTCCTGGCATTGTTTTTAAAAATTTGTACACTTTGCATAAAACCATTGACTGCCAAATACGCAAAGACTCAAATTTAAATGTATTAAGTCAAATAAATATGACAAGAGCATTTCCATGACATCAATTCCGTGTCCAAAATCGTCGAAACTATTTTGTCAGTGGTCCTTACTTGTAATCAAATTTGCCTAACCAACAAAAAATGCTAAACGTTTTATCATTAGAATGCTATAGACTCCTTCCTTAATATGTTTATGTAACGCGGTGTCTTCTTTTATCGTCGAAAACTAAAAAAAAAATCTTAACCCTTAAAATGCTTAATATTTTTGTTGATTATGTACGTTTCTCAGTTGTTCAAGTAATGGAAAAGTGCATGCCAATAACTTTAATGACAATTTCGATACATGCAAAAACTAGTATGTATAGCATACACATCGATCTTTGACGTCTCAAATGTCATATCAGTGTCATTTCATATCAGTTTTAATAGGATATTAGATCTTCAAGTTTAATAAATAGTTATAAATGAAAGGATTAAATGCTAGCACGTGTTTGGAAACATTTCAAAAACAAAATATGATAAAAATTTGCAGCACATCTCAATAATATTTCTTCTTTTTTTTTACTAGATGACGAAGGTATAGCTGAATCAGGGATGTGATCTAATCGCACCAGCCAAGTTTGTTAAGAGCCTACCATTTTTTTTATATATTTGACATATATTCCATAGAAACCTATATAATGTCTTTTAATACAACACACTTCAATATTTTTGACAGTAGAGCATTATATAACTTCATTATCTCATTTAGATTATACGTAGGAATATTTTTAAGATTGCCAAAATCTTATATAATTTATTGAATATTAGAAACATTTCGTATATTTAGAATGAAATTTTCTAGATAATTAGTCGTTTTTTTAGAGATTATAGTAGATACTCATATAGATATGTTTCAAGTCTGTTATTATATTAACTCACAATACTATTACCATAAACTTTTACTCTACTTACTTTACATACCGGGTACGTCTCAAAAGTGGCTCACCCCTGTAACTTTTTTATTTTTTCAGATAAAACACCGAGATTTGGTATGTTAGAATATGCAATAAATTGGGATTGATTAACATTCAATTGTTTTCGGTCACTTCCTGTTTCACCGGAAATGACTACAACTTTTGATTTATAAATGACACCCCCGGTATTTTTTTACTTTATTCGATTGAAAATCACACTTTGAATCGAATAACATATCATATGTCAACTTTTGACATATTCGTTCAAAAATAAATTGTATTTAAAATTTCAATCTAAAGTGCCATGACTGTCAAGGAGCCTTGGAAAAATAGATTTGATTGTCTAATGTTTTTAGTCTCTTGTCCTGGCCGGTTAAAAGATGCCCAAATCGTATTTTTAATCATATGTCAATTTTTTCAAATGGAAGGAGGGTGGCTCATTAGCATATTTTGAAAAAGCATTTTTTTACGAATAATTTGGTAGCACACACTTGGTATTTCTAGTCAAATTGTCGTTATGAACCGCATGTTACAATTTCAAATAAACCATATGCGAAAATGTCAAAAGTTGACATATAATATGTCATTCTATTCAGAGTGTCATTTTCTATCGGATAAAGTAAAAAAATACCGAGGGTGCCATTTAAAAATCAAAAGTTGTCATTTCCAGTGAAACCAGAAATGACAGAAAACAATTGAATATGTCAATCAATCCCAATTGATGTCATATTCTAACATAACAAATCTCGTTGTTTTATCTAAAAAAATAAAAAAGTTATAGGGGTGAGTCACTTTTGAGACGCACCCGGTATAGTAGACCTTAGATTTACTAGAACATTTTTTGTTGTATTATATATTGTACAGTATTTTTAATTGTTAGGTTTTATCTTATTCATAAATATATTATTAAGTAGTTGTATTACTTTTAATATTTAAAGGCACTCTAAAATTTTTAAATAAATAATGCCTAAAATTTCTAAAAATATAATTGATTACCTACTATCTTTCTTTTTTTATCGAATTTCTTGATTGTTGGTGCATCCTATCAGTAATTGTACATTCTCCAAATTTGAATATTACGTTGGTCTTTGTTAATGTAAAGTTGTTTTCTGTTTATTGAGAAATATAATAAACAACATTTTTTTCTGGTGTTAAATTTGCAAAATTGACAAACTGCATTAAATTACAAACTTAATATAAAATATGACAGAATTATCTCTTTGAATAAGACTAAAATATTTTTATAAGGAATACTTTTGGACTATAATTAATAATCTACAAAGACTGATAATCATGATAACATATAATAAAGAACCAATGTTAATATATTATGCACCTATTTTGTGAATTATATTTAAAATATATATATACTTAAACATTTTAACAATTTCTTCCATAGATTTTAATACATAAAAGTGCCAATTTTTACAATATATCTATTTTTAAACCTTAACCCTTTTAAAAAATATTTAATATCTATTGAATAAATAAACGTCCAAAATGTCTTCTATTTTTATTCGCAATAAAATATGTTATAGACTCAGAGAAATAAGTAAATTTAGAGGATTTAAATATATTAATGAATCAAGCATCATACTTTGGTTTACATTCAACAAGTCTTATAGGGTGTAAAAAATAAAAATCAGGACGCCTGATGTTTTGTAACTTTTTTGCACACTCGGTATAATATTACAAAGCTTTTATTTAGGTTTAATAACGTTTTTATAAGATACCTCTCTACTTATTTATTTTGTCTGAGTTAAAATCACCACTGTATGTTTTTCTCAATGTGTGCAATAGTTCCCAATTTGTTATACAATATTATGTCAAAATTGTATTAGTTTGTATACTGTAAGTTTTAAAATTGTCTCTGTGATAATTACGTTAGTTTGGTTGTCTTCTATTGATTATATTGTTGATTTTTTATATTGCCAAACTTGAATCTTCAATGGAAAAACAAATGTTGCACGTCCGTTTTTCCCGTAGAAGACAAATCCGTACGATCGAAAAAAAAACAGTGCACTGTTTTTACGAACGTTGACAACTCTGACGTTTTTTTCGATCGTATGGGTTAATATACTCGAATAACCTATAATACGCTCTACATATTACTTACATGTACTTAAATATTTTTATATCTAATAAAGTAATTTAGGGATGTAACTAAATAAATACTTCATAACACGTATAAATAATTTGTTTTATTTCTTATATATAAAAACATCTGTACAACAGAAATATAATATCGATTTCTTATGATAGCTTTTTATTTTTATTTTTATTTTTTGTCTTTTTCTTCTTTTTAGTTGGACTTTCATCGACATCTATGTCCTTGCCGTTCTCCTCAAACATCCTCTTTTCGCCACTAAAGCAAATATTTAATCATATTTTTTTTATATTCAGCAATTAATCATTTTGTATTGAAAGTTCTTGAACTTGAACTCGAAGACTTGAACTACATGAATTAATAGTATTTTCAGTAGCACTAAAAAAACTAGTGCTACAATTATCGTATATAATAATCGATATGCTATAATAATATGCATTATATAATATATGAATAATTTTAACAAAATTAATACCATATAATTAGAGTAAACGCCACGAATATTTGGGAGTGATTTATCGCTTGATGAAGTTAGAATCGACACGCGCGCTATCATTTTTACATTAAAAACGTAAATTTTTACCGCAAACGTAGGTTTTTAAAGCCCGGTCTAATCATTTGCCTGCGCTCCTCCTACTTATTCTAAAATGTTAGCGTCATTGACAAAGACGATACTATATCGAGTTTCTTTGATTGATTCGTTTTTGTGCGTCAGTCCATTGGTGTGCTTGCAGTGCGATCAATGGGGCATTCCATTTTATGTTTATAACCAAATATATGTTTTGACAGTTAAAACAACAGATTATATATTGATTATTATATGACTTGAAACACCACGGCACTGGAATTAAGTTTTATGTGACCTTGAACAGATTAGTTCACATAGTAGCGACCGATGAATCACTCCCAAACATTCGTGGCCTTTACTATAGATAAAAACGGCACAGTAAGCATAGGAGTAACATTTCAGTTCTAGTTTTCATTACTATATAGTAATCGCAAAACATTTTCCGATGCACGTCATCAATCATATCGACATTGACATTAAAGTCTATAAACCTGACTAAATGAAATTTTGGCAAAATGTTTAAATTTGTTGTATAATTTAAGATACCGAGCAGCTCTTCATTTTACTTTATCGAGCAAATGATTGTAACAGATATTTTATTTAGATTAAAGATGTAAAAATTAGTTTAAACAGAATTTTATTATCGCTATGTTGCTCACATTGCGCCGGGTTCAGCAATGTTGTCCATTATTATTTGACAATTATCCTAATGTCAGTCATTATTTTGTATAATATCGTCTTGTTAAATCTTTGTGAGCAATTCTCGTTTTTTGCCTATTTTCGTATTTTTTTTAAATGGCACTTTTAAGCACAAACTAGGTTGAACTAGGTCTTTAATTCACAATAGTTCCCGACTAACATTGACATCCCCCTTGCTTGCTAATGCATTTCGTTATCAGTCAGAACTATTCACAGTAATGTATAATTTTTATAATGTACGGAGATATAACGAGACGTGTAAGTGTGATTGTTAAAAACATATAGGTAAGTTTTATAGCAGGTAAAAAAATAAAAAAAAACTGAAATCAGAATTTAAAAAACTATATCACAAATCAATTGGTGCAAATATTACAAAAATTTTACGAAAAATTGCATTTTCCCTCACTTCCAAGCTTTTTGTTTTTGTCTAAAAATTCAGAATATCTACTTCGCGTTTTATAAGATATTTCTTAATTTTAGGGACCTAAAGTGAAACATTCCCATAAAATATTTAAAAAACAAACTAAAAATCAAAAACAGTATCCAAGACAATTTTCTGTGGTAATTACTGTGGCAATAGACAAGGCCGAATCCATCGTCGTCGCCTTCTATTATATTTCGGATCTGCCGACTGAATATATATTCCCGTGAACTAGTCTTTTAATACCGTACGATCGAGAAAAAACGGCGTCAGCGATAGCTATGGAATGAAGATCGCTGTCATTTTAAATGTAAATTTATATGGGAAATGTCATTGATGTTCATTTCCCAGCCAACTGGACGCCGTTTTTTTTCGATCATACGGTAGTTCCTCTATGTCCGGATCCAATAACATACGGCTGGCACTCCCCACGCCTGCATAGCATCAATCGCGCTGGCTGGTCCATACGTAAACTAGTCATTTATTTAGTTCCTCTAGTTCCTTTAGGTCCGGATCCGATAACATACGGCATACGGCTGGCACTCCCCACTCCTGCCTAGCATCGATCGCGCTGACCCGATCCGTTCGTACATAAACTAGTCTTTTATTTAGTTTAGTTCCTCTAGGTCCGGACCCGATAACGTACGTCTGGCACTCCCCACTCCTGCCTACCATCGGGCTACGCGCGCTAGCCGATCCGTCGCCGTCGCATATTCTATATCGGACACAGTCTCGATTCCGGAATAGGTCCTGAAGAACTAGTTCTTTGAGAAACCAGGAACTAGTTCCTTTCATTCCGGGGTCGGAATAGTTCATTGGAACTAGTTCGTTTACGAACTACACACCTCTAGTCACCGGTCCATCCACTAGTATCGCCTTACGTCGCTTAACTTCGGTGTTCTAATGGGAACCGGTGTTTTGACGTAGCTGGGCTGTTGCCTTTGGCGTTGTAAAATGTACATCAATAAGTAAATAAATAACCCTTAGAATAATCTTCATCTAACGCTTAGAATAATCTTCATAATGGACTAGTTTTTGCCAATATATAATAAGTAAAATAAGCTATAAAACAAATAAATCAATTAATTACTAAAATATTAGTTATTAAATTAACATTAAAACGTAAAACTTTTTTAAAAATGATATAATAAATATACTGTTTGTCAATTTTAAATTAAGATTCATCTCGTAAATCCATCACAATCTGGCAGCGCTGTCGCCATCGCTTGTCACTCAACGTTGATCACGTGAATGGGAAACTGTTTTGTGATTACCATAGATAAATTTTTTGAGAGTTACAGTTATTT